AGAGAGGGAGGTAGGGAGGAGAGAGAGAGATATTTGTTGTCATTGAAGGTATACCAGAATTTAAAATTCTGGTCCTGGATTTCAGTCTACTTATCTTTAAAAAAATAGACACTTGAACACAGGGACCTGGAACATTCAAAATTATCTTAGATGATTGTAATAATTCCCTGTTTAAAAAAATGTAGACTCATGTATTATTATCATTTTATTCCATTCTAAGCAAAAGAAAAGGCATATGAGTTATATATTTCAGAAAGAATCATGTAAACATATCTAAATGATAATAAATTCCCTTTCCATAAACAGATCATGAATATTTTCTTAACATAAGATGATTTAAATGAACTGACATCCACAGTTGGTAAACTACTATTATAACCTCCTTGTAATCTTTAGATAATACACACAAAAAATGTTAATTGATTTTTTTCTTATAAGTCTAACAATTTAGAGAAAATTTAGAAAATGTACACAAAGGCATTGAAATGAAAATATTCATAGTATAAATACCTAGACATAGGCAATGCTAATATATTGGGATATACCCTTTGATTTTTTTCTTCTGTGCATATATTCTGTGTATATATGAATATACTTTTTTTACACAGTGGAATTAAATGTTATGAATTTATTAAATTTTGGAAGCCAGCTTTTTCACTTGACACTATATCATTAATTTTTTTCCATGATGTTAAGTATTTGACCACATAAAATTTAGTAGTGGCATGGCATTTATGGGTTTCCTATCATTTTTAAATATATATGTATTTAAATAAATTTGTACCCCCTTTACCCATTTCTCCCACCCCCACCTTCTGCCTCTGACAACTCTACTGATCTGTTCTCTGTTTCTGTGAGCTTGTTTTGTTTTGTTTTAGATTCCACATATGAGAGAGCATATAGTATTTGTCTTTGTCTGTCTGACTTATTTCATTCAGCATAATGCCCTTGAAGTCCATCCATGTTGTCACAAATGGAAAGATTGCATTCTTTTTATGGCCGAGTAATATTCCATCATTCTGTTTTCTTTTTGCTGCTCTAATAGGATGAGTTCTACTGCCTTGTCTCTGAGTTGACTGATCCTTTCTTCTCCTTTATCTAGTCTGTTGTTGAACTTTTCTAAGTGTATTTTTCAGTTTAGTTACTGTATTCTTCAGCCCTTTGACTACTCTTGGGTACTTTCTTATATTTCCATCTTTTTGTTGAAGTTCTCACTGTGTTCATCCATTTTTCTCCCCAGTTCAGTGAGCATTTTTATGACCACTACCCTGAACTTTTTTCAGACAAATTACTTATCTTCCTTTTATTAAGTTTTTCTCTGAGTTTTTATTTTGTTCTCTCTCTTTCTCTTTTGGAACATATTCCTCTGTTCTTCATCTTGCTTAATTCTATTAGTTTCTATACAGTTGATGAAACAACCGTCTCTCCCAGTCTTGAAGGAGTGGCTCCATTTAGTAGATGAAGCTTGTCATTCAACCCTGCCTCAGTTCTGGTTGTCTCTTAAACCTTTGTGCTTGTCTGGGCAGAAGCTATTGTATTTTTAATAGCTTACCATCAGTGAGGATGTGCTAAGACCTGTCAGTGTCCCTAAGGGAAGGATCTTAGCATTTAGATTCAAGCAGTTTGGAAGTCAGACCTATGAGCAGCAGCTTTTAAAAAGTATGCAAATATACACAGTCCTAGGACTCGCAAGTGGCCAGGTACTCTGGTGGCGTCCCCTGGTTGGCAGCCACAAAAAGTTCGGGCTCCAAATGATCAAAAAGCCCTTTTCTGAGATCCTGGTGAGCTGCAACAAGGCAGAGGGAGAATGCCAACATGGTGTCCATAGCCTGCACTCCTTGAGAGCAAGCAGCTCCGTAGTTCACTAGGGGTGTGCCCAATCCAACGTCCCTGAAGCCTGCCTCAGGCTGAAGCTCCAGGACAAGCCAAGAGTCCTTCTTCACTGAAAGACTGGGGGTGTGGCTCCATTTGCTGTCTGCACAGTGCCCTGGGAGTGGCAGCTGGCCAAGGGCTGTCTCTCCAATTGCCACAGTCCCGTGGCATCCAGGAATGCAAGCCCCCCCTTGCTACCAGAGCCAGATAATCAAGAGGCTTCCTCTGAGTGGAAGCTGCAAAAATTGGGGTGCCAGACATAAAAACCAGGGCACCCGCCATGTGTAAGTCACCCCTCCAGGAGACACGGGTTCTCTGGAGTGTGGTAGAGGGAAAGCACAAAGATAGTTCTTGCCCTCCGAGGTCTCTGGAAAGGATCATTGTCAGTCCCATGATGTGTGTTTAATTAGAAATCTGCTCCTCAGGCTGCCCCTGAGAGGATTACTTAATAGGCCTCCTCCGAGGAAAGACTGAACTCCTGGATCTGTTGCCTCTTGTGCCCTGGGGGTGGCAGCTGGTTAACGACTCTTTCTCCATTGGTTACAGTCTGGTGGGACACACAAGCGTAAGCTCCACTGGCTGGAGAGGTGTCCCCTGGCAGCAGTCGCAAAATCAGTCACAAAACCCATAGGACCAGGCAAGTTCCCCTGGCCTCCAGAGCCAGGCGGTCAAGAGGCATTCCCTGGGTGGCAGCTACAAAGATCAGGCATCAGAAGCATATGAAAAGCTTCCTTCCAGGAGATACTGGTGTATTGGAGCAGGGCAAAGGGAGAGTGGGAAGCTGGCCCCCGCCCCGGGGTTCCTGGAGAATGTTCCAACAGGCACCTACATGTGTGTGTGAAATAAGATGCTGGCCCCTCAGGATGAGGCTTTAATACAAGCAGGTGAGCCTCTTTCACTTTGGGTGCAATTGGCCAAACTCTGATTAGATGTAAAAATCACTTTTCAGGGCGCCTGGGTGGCTCAGATGGTTAAGCCTCTGCCTTCGGCTCAGGTCATGATCTCAGGGTCCTGGGATCGAGTCCCGCATTGGGCTCCCTGCTCCTTGGGAGCCTGCTTCTCCCTCTGCCTCTCTCTCTCTCTCATGAATAAATAAATAAAATCTTTAAAAAAAAAATCACTTTTCTCTTTCCCTTTGTAAAGGGTAAAATCCACCAGATTACTTGCTCTTCACTGTACTGAGACAAACACAATATTGCATTTGGAGCTTACCAAATTCTAACCCCTTGGGGGACTCCTAGACATCCAGCACTTTGGTTATAGAATTCCATATGCTCTGAAATCACTGCACTTAAAGTAGGAGAAGACTAGATGATGTAGTAATATAAACATAAATGTTCAGTGGGTTAGTTAAAAACAGTTGGATATTAAAAATTCAATGAAAATTTGGTTGAAGTGTAAATAATCCAATTGGATGCTCACTGCACTTCACTGTGCAGTATATTTGTCTTCTAGATGATTTGCCCAGGCAGCATGATGTTATCACTCCTCTCTCCCTCCTCCTTTCTCCAGGCCCTCCTCCTCCCCTTCTTCCTCCTTTGTCCTTTTTGAATAGAAACCATTTCTTCATGTGAAAGTCTGCCATTTAACAGGGGTAATATTGTCAAGATTACAGAGCATAATGTTCCATTAAGAACGTAGAGATAGTGGCAGTTTCTTTGATTTTAATTCAAAGTTAACTAACTTTAGTCATTGCCTAAATCCAAGTGTGCTTCCTTGGCCTCCCACCAGTTTAAGTCTCTGATTAAGATTTGAGCTGGTCATCTATCTCAGCCCTCAGTTTTTAAAAAACTCCTTATGTGGCAGGTCTAGCCGTTCTCTTAAGTATTCCAGAGATCTAACACCATGGACTGCAAAATGACCTAAGCTGTGCTTTGTGGAGTGCCATGGTCTCTTATGCGAAGTACTTAAACACTTTTTTAAAACTACCAAATATAAGAAGGGGATGAGTACATCACACACACACACATACACACCACACAAAATAATCCATCTGCATGCTTAGCTGTCCTACTGAGAAATTAATATTTAAACACAAAATTAGTTTTCAATTTAAAGGGCAAAAAAGATCACCTATGTTTGTTGTTAATTCAACACATGTCTATTGATTATCTATTATGTACTAACAATGATTTAGTCTTTGAGGGCCTGGTAACAAGCAAGACTAACAAAAGTCCCTCCTTACAAAACTCAGTCTAATGAAGAAGACAGACAAGCCAACAATAGTAATAAAGTTAGAAAATTGGCATAACAGAGATCATACAGGGTGTCTGGCATATGGTAGAAATAGCGTTCAAATAATGTGTGTTGGATGAGTGACCAAATGAATGAATGAATGAGCAGAAAAATGAATATGGTGCACATAGCAGCAACACATCTTTCTGTCTAATGGTTGACTAAGGAAGTCTTCCCAAAGGAAGAAGTGTTTAAGTGATGGCTTTAAGAAGTTAGCTTAGTAAATAGGAAAAAGTGTGCTCAAAGCAAAGGGATGTTTTTGTTGGAAAGTCTGGAGGTGAAGGAGAGCTCACTGGGTTCAGAGAAGCAATAGAAATTGAGCAGATAGCAAGGGGAGAAGACTCAGAGGCAGCTTGAGATGTGGGAGGGAGTCAGGACATGCAGAGTGTTATAAATCCTTCCTCTGGGGGTTGAAAATGGCTTAAGGGACCCAGAGGTTCAGGAATTAGCCCAATGTCTGTAATGGCAGTTAAATGAACCATTTCACCCATCTCCCCATCCACCTCCCATCTGGTAACCATCAGTTCTCTATAGTTAAGAGTCTGTTTCTTGGGTGAAATAGGTGTTGGGGATTAAGGAGCACACTTGTTGTGATGAGCACTGGGTGAATTGTTGAATTACTATATTGTACACCTGAAACTAATATAAAATAATGAATGAACTTCAAGACTATAATGAACTGGCTATAGCCTCACGGTCTCCCTAACTTACCTGTTGATTCTTTTACGTTAGCTATTAGGCTAATCTAGTTCTCTTGGTCAAATCAGAATATAACGAGATACAATGTTTTAAAGATAAATCAACAGAGGGATGCCTAGGTGGCTCAGTCAGTTAAGCGTCTGCCTTTGGCTCAGGTCATGGTCCCAGGGTCCTGGGATGGAGTCCCACATCAGGCTCCTTGCTCAGTAGAGAGCCTGCTTCTCCCTCTCCCACTCCCCTTGCTTGTGCTCTTGCTCACTCTCTTGCACGTGTGCACTCTCCCTAGCAAATAAAAATAAATAAAATCTTTAAAAAAGAGATAAATCAACAAAAAGAGTTTGTATTCTAATGGAATTTTGTTAAATGCAGTATACTGCTAAAAATTATAGCCCCAAAGACATGAGACCAATATGTAAAATAAAGTCAATACTTTACATTTCTTGAAAGAATTTGTCCAGACTCAAGAAAAAGAAAACTTGGAAAGGAACAAGATGGCATGAATTACCGCATTTTCTTGTTTTTGGATATTCTAAATAGTTTTAGTTTTATTTAAATAAGTAATCTGCAAGTTCTAAGAAGGCCACCCACTTACTCAAACTCCTACTTTTAGACTGAGGTGTCTGGTAGGCTCAGTTGGTAGAGCATGTGACTCTTGATCTCAGGGTTGTGAGTTCCAGCCCTACCTTGGCGGTAGAGTTTATTTAAAAAAAAAAAAAAAAAAAAAGAATGTTTGAAGTGGGATGGGCCAGAGGAGTCAAAGCGTCTTCTGGGCAAAGAAACTTCTAATCTAAGTCTATACGTGAAATACTAAAAAATATTTCTTGAGTGCCTACTCAGGGTTTCACCTGAGTGAAAATTTACCATTCTAAATCTCTCTCTGCCCCTAACTCTAATCTAAGAAAATTTGAGGTCCTTTAACAAAGTTCCTCAACATCAAACTGTAACTATTATCCAAAGCATTACTTTACATCATTCAGAAGTATCTTAAAGTATGTTAGAAATAAAATGAAGTATAAGAAATCGGCTTACTTACCTTAAATCCAGTTAGTACTTTTGTGGATTATTCAAACAATACAATAGGTGTTAATACTATACTTAATTATTTGACACAAAACCTCACATTTTCAAATGCTTTAAATAATTTGATTTTCTGATGCTAAAAAGAGTAAAGAATCTAAAAAGAGTAAAGAATCTACACATTTGGTTGCAGTTATAAAAAGGATTTGAGATATGTAGACCAAGTTTGATGAATAATAAACTATCTGGAAGTGATTCAATTTATAAATACTACTTTGGGCATGGCTTCTATTTTGGAGATGAAGTATAAATTTTAGAGTGTACTGTTTTTGGTTACTATCCTGAAGTATTGTCTTATTGAACAACATGAATAAATTCACCTATAAATTCCCTTTTTGAATGATGGGAAACTTTTAAACTTGGCAGGGTAAAAGTTATAGAAAAAGGTTTAGACTTTAGATCTATGAGAAAACATTTTTAAGCCATTATAAGGCATAATACCAGAGGTTTCCAAATTTTTTCTCAAGAAATTGCTAACATTCACAAAAAAGGATAAAGGGGATGTAACAATTTCCTCTGCTTTTTTTTTTTTTTTTTAAGTGGGTTCCACACCAAATGTGGAGCCCAACATGGGACGTGAACTCACAACCCTGAAAATCAAGACCTGAGCTGAGATCAAGAGTGGGATGCTTAACTGACTGAGCCACCCAGGCACCCCTCCTCTGCTTCCCCCCTTAAACATTGAATCACTTTCCTCTTTATTCTGCATATTTATCACACTTTTAAGTGGCTTTTCTGGACTCAATATTGCACTGATTAGCTCCTTCCAATTATTAATTAATTGTTACAATCATTAGTTAATCCCTAAATTCAGAAAGAGCTATTTTATCTCACAGATACCCCACCTATTTTCTCCTCCCAGAGGTATAGACTGAGCTATAGCGAAACAGTTACGAGGGCAAGGATGTTCTGGCTGAGGCAATAATTTGGAATAGGCTAATAGGGGGGTTTCTGGTCCTAATTTAAATGACTGTTCTATAAATTTACATTTTCAAGCATTGCTACTTGCAGAGAAATCAATGATGCAAAATCACTAGGAAGAAAAATAGTTATTGGCAAAACTGACTTAAATGTACTTATTTTATTTTACTTTAAATGTTTCAACATTTAGACTGTGAATGCCAGAATTTGACTCCAGAATATATTACTTTAACTCTCACAGACTTTTTGATTTCTTGTGGCATATTTCAGCCATCAGTTAGTAACTGACGTTCTCCTTCAACATGATTCTGAATTGTTCCAAAGCAGCAGAGTAGCTTTAAGAGATCTGAACGGTCGCATAGGGGAAGCATCTTCCTGGAGAATTGCTTGATTTGGCAGGATTTCAGGCAGCCTCTGTCCTCTGGCTTTCTATGACTGGCTCCATTGTCTAGAGAGATCATGGGGATTTCCTGTGGGAGAGCCTCTGTTTGAGGGTGAGGGCATAAGCTAGAGACAAGGCAACCACTTATTATCACATTGACCTGATCTAAACGCAGTGGATTTTTTTCTTTCATACTAGGTAGCAGTTGCTGGTGACTAAACAAACAAAGAAACAAACAAAAACTTCACGTATTAAGCACTTTATCAAAGTTTTAACTTATCATCATAATAATGGTTGATTGATTTTTGGACCAAAACCGATACGCTAAGATTTTTTTTTTTTTTCCAATCTCAGAGGATCTTAAACTTCTAGAACTGAAAATTGGCTTCAGTTCTAGTCTCTTATTTTTTGTAAATAAGTAAATGGGGGCCTCAGAAAAATAAAAACGTGAAGAGAAATATAAATGGTAATAGTGCTTATGTTAGGAGGTGGAAATATGGGTTATTTTTCCTTTATTACCACTTTACTGTGGTAACAGTGTTTTTGTAATGACAAAAAGTGGTTTATTTAAATGCACAAGGCAATTGCACGTGTCCTTTTAAATGTGCCTTCCACCCTTTAGGCTAATTCTGCAGAGAAGCTGAGAGAATACGGTCTTTCCCACATCTGTAGCCATCCTGTGCTGGTAACTAGGACTAGGTCTTGCCCCCTCATAGCACCTCCGAAATCACCTCCCGTACCTCCCTGGAAACTCTTTCGTCAAAAAAAGGAAACTGTTATAACAGATGAAGCTCAAGGTATGGTTCCTGTTGTCTGAAAATCTTTCTAAGGAGCCTTTCTCTGCATGAAGGTCTAATAGTTTCATTTGTAATGAAAGATGTATATCAAAGCAAACCACCCATCATTACACCTAACACCTACATTCAATTTTATGCCTAAATTTTATGTCTTTAAAGGATTAATTCTCCACATTTCAGAAGCTGAGCAGTTTGGTTCGCATCTAAACTGACCAGCTATATCCAGGCCATTCTTTGGGTGAGGGTATTGTTGTCATTATTGTGATAGAAAATGGTTTGCAGTGAATAATAGAAAAAAAAAACGTAAAAAGCGTATTTAAGCCACTGGTGTGAAATCACTCTAGAGTGCCGTGTAGAACATAACCTTTGAAGTAACTGATTTATATTTAGAATAGAAACTGACCTTTGTTTAGAATACAGGAACAGAACTTCTGGCCTGGACTGGCTCCTACGTGAATGTTGTCCTAAGCCACTATGAATGGCTGTTGGGTTAGAAATAAAGAGGTTCCTGCCGTTGGGGAGGCGGGGGACAGGGGACCGTGCCTGCCCGGCTCTTATTCTCAGTTCACTTCTAACGTCCTCACAATCAAGTCTCATCCTTGACTCCTTCAATGTTTTTTCTCTCCAAGTCTTCATTTTTTCATGAGCACCAAGTTTGAACGGCAACAGAAATGAGCAAAGGCATTCATTAAAAAATCAATTTTAACACAGAAGCATGAATCTGAGGAGATGGCATTAAAAAAAGAAGGAAAAAGTAATAATCTAAAAATTATGGCCCGGCAGAAGAGCTCACAACTTTTGTTTAGTCAACGTCTACTGTGTTTCTGTACCTAATTTAGAGCTTGCAGTTTCTCATAAGGGATGATAAAGAATTGGCGTGTTACGGATTATTTTTCTGCATATATGCCTGTGTGCATGGGGGTATATATATTTTTCTCATTCCAAAACACTTCAATTGTCTTTGTTCAAAAGAGCTTTTTTTTTTTTTTAAACGTCTTTTGTGTTTGTTTCCTTGCTTTTGCATTTTCTCCCTTTGTCTCTGCTGACTGCTCATTGTTTTCTAACTGTATTGCTCCAGCAACAGTATATCACATTCTAGAGGTTTTTGCATTAGGGGCTGTGTTCACAGGTCTGTTACCTGAATGAACAATGAAGGCAAAGCCACGAAGAGCATACCCATGCCAGTTTATTGATGGCCTCGCTGTGAAGCATAGAAGTACGCTTTAAGGCTTTGGTGCCATGGAGCAAGGCTTACACCCTCTCTTGCTGGTGTTGATGAGGCTCCTGCTACCAGTTCAAGCGTTGTTGATCCCTCCTCACAGGGGACCAGCGGACCCTATCTTGGTTCCCATGTAATACCCAAGTCTGGGTGGTGCTCAGGCTCCTAAACCTGCCATGGCCACGTAGATTGGAATGTTTACCTGCTCCCTGCGTTCTACTTCCAACCATCATTTACATGTTTTTTTTTTTTTAAAGATTTTATTTATTTATTTGAGAGAGAGAGAGAGAGCATGACGGGGGGAGGGTCAGAGGGAGAAGCAGACTCCTCGCTGAGCAGGGAGCCCGATGTGGGACTCTATCCTGGGACTCCAGGATCATGACCTGAGCCGAAGGCAGTCGCTTAACCAACTGAGCCACCCAGGCGCCCATTTACATGTTTTTAAAATATAAATTACAACTGTTAACCATGTAATTTTCCTCACATTTGCTTTTTGCCTACATGATACACCCGGTACAGCTAGGAGCAAAGATTTTCTAGCACAACATGTTATATCTTTGCCAGAAAAGAACAAAGATTAAAGAAAGAATCTGGTTTGGATGGAAGAAGAAATGGTCAATTCTTTTTTTTTTTTTTTTACTTAGGCCTATCTGCCTCTCTCTGTCCTGCTTGATTATTTCATTTCTTTACGTCCGTTGAGCTTCCGCAATGGGCTGTCAGCGCCTGCAGATGGCTGCTATGGGGTACAGGAGCTTCCCAATTTTTATTCCTCCCTCCCACTCTTCTTCCCTCCCTCCCTTCTGTCCTCTTTCCTGTTCTCTGTCTTTTTGAACCAAAGATCAGCCTTCACATGATGCTTGAAACACAATCTTTTGCTTTTAAATGCTATATTTTAGTTCAATGTGTAGAGCCACACTTAAAACAGTTGTTCATTCAGAGCATCGAAGAATAGTTGAGTGAAGGGAAAAATATTGAACCTGCAGACCTTTTCTGATTCCACTACTGTTGCAGTGCAGTTCTAGGTAAGTGATGGCTCTAATGTAAGCTGGGGAAGAAAAATCTGAAATTGGTGGGATTCCATAGCTCGTATACCACCTCGAGGCTCACCCTGTAATTGTCTTTCTTCTGTCTATTGGTTTAATATTTAAGGCAGAAATTAACAGGAAAATTAACAGGGAGGGAAAGAGAGATCATTTTAGAGGTTACCATGGAACAAGCAGAGAAAAGTTATGTACTTGTATCAAAGCTTCACTATTTTTCTCCAATAGTTACCCTTTCCACAGATGGAAGAGCTTTTGTTAAAATAGTCACCTCTAATGTTTAATTGCAGCGCTCACCATGCTATGCCTGGGTTCTGTGCCATATCCACTGAGAATTTCTTCCTCGTAGATCAATTTCAGACTCTCTTAGGCGGATCCACAAGGCTTTTCTTTAGCCACTGTTTTCTCTTCTACCCATGACCTTTACTTTGTTACATTTTCTGTTCTTCTACTACCATCTCCAGGTATTAGTCTGCATTTCCTCTTCATGTTTCAGCAATTGTTTTGCAGAAGTTAACTAAAAGAACACAGTTTTTAGTGAAAAACATTTTAAAAAGTAGCAGTGAGGGACGCCTGGGTGGTTCAGTCGGTTAAGCGTCTGCCTTCGGCTCAGGTCATGATCCCAGAGTCCTGGGATCAAGTCCCGCATTGGGCTCCTTGTTCAGCGGGGAGTTTGCTTTTCCCTCTCCCTCTGCCTGCAGCTAGCCCTGCTTGTGCATGCGTTCTCTCTCTCTCTGTCAAATAAATAAATAAAATCTTAAAAAAAAAAAAAAAGTAGCAGTGAATGTCCAGTAAATAACAAGGAGACATTGCTAACTTTCTCTCTTGAGACTTGATTGCTTCACATTGTAAGTGTGGAAAGCAACTGAGAAGTAGACTTTAAACACCTAATATTAGCAGGATCTATAAGGCCTTTCAATGTAAAACCTATCCTATTTCCGTCTTTTGAAATTTGCTGGTTAAATAGTTAATGTAATCAGTACTACAATAGATGTTAAGTTATGCATTTAATCTTGGAAGATAAAAAAAAAGTACATGATACCACTTGTTTCTTCTAGAATTAATAATAAAGAAGGCCGAACAATTTCTTGAAATTTCAAGTCCATTTTTGAATTATAGGATGACTCCATTTACAATTCCAACAGAAACGTAAGTATGTAACATTCTTTCCCACAAATACATCTTGTTGACAACTGAAGTATTTTGTGAATTGTGTGGTTAGAAATATATGCTTTGGTGACAGATGCACTAAAGTTTGTATTGCTGCAGTGAATACAGGAAAACAATATTCTTAGATTCTTTTTCACAGTAATAAGTAGATAAGATAAATTCTGAATAGGTTAAAATAAAGCTTAACTATGCCTGGCTTTCCAGCTTTGGCTATTGTTTTAGAAGAGTAAAGTACTTTGTTTTACTTAAACATTAGCACTAACAAATGCTTTTGGTTATTATCTGATAATGAAATCATAAGAGCAGAGGATTGTCAGAGAAACCAGAGAGATGAAGTGTGTCAGTCTTAGGGGAAAAAAAAACCCTAAATAGAACAACAAAGACAATCAAGAAGTAAAAGGAGGAAGAGGAGGAGGAGAAATCCAAATATACTAATGTTTGAGTATGGCAAAAGGGATAGAAAGAAAGACTATCACCCTGGATCTAAAATTTCTTTTTTTTTTTTTTTAAAGATTTTATTTATTTATTTGACAGAGAGAGGCACAGTGAGAGAGGGAGCACAAGCAGGGGGAGTGGGAGAGGGAGAAGCAGGCTTCCCGCCGAGCAGGGAGCCCGATGCGGGGCTCAATCCCAGGACCCTGGGATCATGACCTGAGTCGAAGGCAGACGCCCAACGACTGAGCCACCCAGGCGCCCCTGGATCTAAAATTTCTAATGAGCTCAGAGGAGTGAACAGGTAGTCCACAAATAGCAATAATGAGAAGAATTAGTGATATGAGTGGAGGATATGATTATTACCACTAAAATTGTGGTAATTTGTTATGCAGTGATAAGTAACTAATACCTGGATATATACGTATGTGAAAGATTACCAAATATATAGTCTGAATTCGTGCAGCTAATTGTACTTCAATTATCCATCAATAACATTGTAATACATAAGAATAAATAATAATATGTAAAATGGTTTTAAAAAAATCATGTAAGGATTCTAGGAATTCAAGAATTCAAGGAATACAATAATAATTGAAAATAAGAATTCGGTGGATGTGCTTCATCAGAGATTAGATACAGCAAAAAGACAACTGGCTAAATGGAAAATAGATCAGAGATAATATCCAGACTGAAAGATGAAGACCAAACATAAATAAATAAATGAGGAAAAGTACAGTAAAAACAAATGGGGCAAGTTGAAAAAGACCAACATAATTGCAAGTGGGTCTCAGAAACAGAGGATAGAGAGATGGGGGAATAATCACAAACTAAAAATATAATGGCAAAATATCCCAAAAGTAAAAAAAAAAAAAAATCAAGTCAAGAATCAGTAAGTTCTGACATCAAGCAATGTAAACAAAAAGAAAATTGCAACTAGACACATCCGAGTAAAACTGAAGACAAATAGGGTACAGTGATATATAGGTGTAAAGTAGAAGTACTGCCTCACAGACCAACATGGATGAATGTCACACACAAAAATATTAGACCAGCCTGGGTGGCTCAGTCGTTAAGCATCTGCCTTCGGCCCGGGTCATGATCCCAGCGTCCTGGGATCAAGCCCTGCATCAGGTTCCCTGCTCAGATTGCTTCTCCCTCTCCCACTCCCCCTGCTTGTGTTCCTGCTCTCACTGTCTCTCTCTCTGTCAAATAAATAAATAAAATCTTAAAAAAAAAAAAAATAGACCAAAGAAGTCTGGTAGAAAAAGTGCACGGGTTGCTTTTAATTATCCTACTAACAGACATTATGCAAAGAAAAATAAAAAGCAATCCATGGTATTGGAAGTCATGATGGTGGTTTCCTGTGGTGAGGAGGACTGGCCGTGCTTGGGAGACACTCGGCACGGCTCATGGGGCGCTGAGTCCCTTAGTCTGCATAATGGCGACATGGCCATGCTGCCTTTGAGATTTTTCAGCAAGTTTTACATTTATGATCTGGTCCTTTGTTGAATGTCTTTTAAACTTAAGTAAAACTTCATGAAACGTTTGAATGTCACACAATGACCATTAGTGATGGGTTAGGCTTCTTTGGACGTAGTAAGATCCATGACAGGAATGTAAGCTGATGAAGAAGTGCAGTTGAACTTGAGATCAGAAGTCAGTTGATTGCACTGTTTTACTTTTAGAGCCTCTTTACATCACAGCCAGTTAATTGACATTGTATGAACTCTATTTAAGTTGAAAATATTAGAGAGATTCTTTAAATCATTTACTGTCAAGGCTCCTGCCAGTTCTATGCACCAACAACTGACCACTGAGAAGTGGGTTGGGAGGGACCCCTAGGCAGCACTCCTCTGGATAGTCCTTGGCAGTTAGTAATGTCAAGCCTCGAGGGACAGCTTTATCAACTGAAAAGACAGTTTGCTGCAACGTTTGATTTCAAAAATTTGTTACCGTTACAAATTTGTAAATCTATTTTCCCTCAAACTTTTAACTTTTCATAAAATCTTATTTTATAGCTAAATCTATTAATATCCATACAAGTTTTAAATAAACTTAGTTTGCCAGATTTATTTAAACATTTTAAGTGACATTTGCTACATCACTATATTTTGTTATCTCCCTAAGTACTTTAAGAGACAAAAATCATAGCAAATAAAATCTTGCCAAGTATTTAAATCCTTATAAAAGTTCAAATAATCAAACTCATGTGTTTTGAGAACCTTAATTTTTCCTATATATGCTATTAGTTTTTACAAACCAAAATTTTCTTACATGTTGTAAATTAATCATGAAGCTAAAATTAAATATGCCATACATTTTAAAGCCTAATTTGTTGGATTATATAACATGCTAAGTTCTTTCATATGTTACAAATACAAAATAGCATATATACATAGAGTTTTTCTGAACTTAATATAAAAATGTTAGTGCTTCATAATTTTTCTAATTAATTTTATACTTAGTATGACCCACTAAATGATAATTTTTCCATTCCAAATAACTTTTAATTATCTCTCAACTGATTGAGATTGCATACTAATCAGAGATTTTGTGGATTTTGAAAGCCATGGCTGCAGACCACCAGGACAAATTTTCTCACGATTGAAAAATGCCATACCCAGACTTCTAGAATCTCTGTGTCAATAGGCACCACAAATGGATTGGTTTCATAGCCTGAATTCCCCGAGTTACTCCCTTACTCGATTTCCTTATGTCTTCTTTCAGCTTCATTATCTGGTCAAGGTGGACAGATCTAGGTGACTCTGACACCTGATTGGATTCAACTAATCTAGTCACTGTTCGAATCTGTTGTGGATTTCCTAGCTTCTTTATTCAATCCGGCAGAGCCAAAAACAAAGATATGTGAATGACATTTCATCCTACATGGAAGAAAGGTCCCTTGTCCTGCTTTGCTGTACAGTCAGAGTTCTCAGGTCAACGTGAGTGCAAGCCCTTTTTTTGGCAAGTCCTTGAGAGTGACTGCTATCACAAGTGCTTTTCCCTGAAACAGTGTAGCAACTTGCCAAATTTGCCCATTCTTGGCTCCTGGCCTAGTGGGAATCAGAACCTCACAAATATGTCTGTGCTACCCTCTAGTGGCGGTTTCAGGTAAATCAGAGAGGCTTAGCTTGAGGTGAATTAAGAACTTTCGCTGAATACAAGGGAAAAAAAAGTGTAGGAAATCTGTATACATGAAATTTAATTTTATCTTTGAAAAGTACATGGGCGCCTGGGTGGCTCAGTTGTTAAGCGCCTGCCTTCGGCTCAGGTCATGATCCCAGGGTCCTGGGATTGAGCCCCGCATCGGGCTCCCTGCTCAGCAGGAAGCCTGCTTCCTCCTCTCCCACCTCCCCTGCTTGTGTTCCCTCCCTCGCTGTGTGTCTCTCTCTGTCAAATAAATAAATAAAATCTTTTTTAAAAAAAGAAAAGTATGTAACCTAAAAAAAAAAGTACATAACCTTTTTGTATTTACTATAACAAATGTCTTTTTATTGTGCCTATGAACTTGTAGGAATGACAATGGCAATTTAAGGTCATATCAAGAATTACTTGAAAGGGAATATTGTACATTTCAGTAGCTAGTACAAAAGTCACAGTTATAAACTCAAGTGCTCAAGACTCACTCAAATTTTTGACTCTGAGTCCCATTCCACTGATACATTACTCTGATACTGAGTTAAATCAAGTCCAAACGTCAAATTCTGACATTCTGGTCATCAACATTTAAAGATGACCACCATAGTTTTATTTTATATTATTTTTTAAAAAGATTTTATTTCTTTATTTGACAGAGAGAGAGCACAAGCAGGGGGAGTGGCAGGCAGAGGCAGAGAGAGAAGCAGGCTCCCCGCAGAGCAAGGGAAGCCCGATGTGGGACTCCATCCCAGGACCAGGATCATGACCTGAGCTGAAGGCAGTCGCTTAACCAACTGAGCCACCCAGGCGCCCGACCACCATAGTTTTAAAATAGCATTCCAGAAAATTTTTACAACAATGTATTGACTGATAGAGATATTTCTTCAGTAGTGTAGAAAGCGAGTTAATGTTTTTAACATGAAATAAAAATTTATTATTAGATGTAAAAGGAGATGATAAAATCAATGAAACCAGAAATTTTTTTTTTTTTTTTTTAAGATTTCATTTATTTATTTGACAGAGACAGCGAGAGAGAGAAAGAGTAGGGGGAGTGGGAGAGGGAGAAGCAGGCTTCCCGCGGAGCATGGAGCCTGATGTGGGGCTCGATCCCAGGACCCTGGGATCATGACCTGAGCTGAAGGCAGCCGCTTAACCGACTGAGCCACCCAGGCGCCCTGAAACCAGAAATTTCTACTGTTGACAAAACTGCTGTTATTTAATGTACAATGCAGTATCAGCCAGCCATAAAAAAAGAAGGAAATCTTTTGTAACAACATGGCTGGAACTTAAGGGCGTTCTGCTAAGTGAAATAAGTCAGACAGAGAAAGACGAATGCCATATGATCTCACTTATATGTGGAATCTAAAAAATCAAAAACAAAAACAAACACCCAAGATACAGAGAACAGATTGATGGCTGCCAGAGGAAGAGGGTGGCTGAAATGGGTAAAGTGGGGTCAAAAGGTGCAAACTTCCAGTTATAAAATAAGTCATGAGATATAATGTACAGCATGATGGCTGTAGTTAACAATGCTGTATTGTATATTTGAAAGTTGCTAAGAGAGTAAATCCTAAGAGTTCTCATCACAAAGAAAAAAATTGCAACTAGGTGTGGTGATGGATGTTAACTAGACTTGTGATCATCTTATAATGTATATGAATATCAAATCATCATGTTGTACACCTGAAGCTAATATAATGTTATATGGCAATTATACCTCAATAAAAAAGAAACTGCAGTTATTTATTAGTAACTTTAAATAAGAAATTAAAGTAACAGAAGTTTGTTTTTTTTTCATTAGTCATTTTGTACAATCTTTTATTAAGAAAGGGATGCCTCCAGGATTTGATTTATCCTCCATTACTGAAAATGATGAAACCACCACCATTAGCCAGCCAGACTTAAGCCAATTGACAGGAGCAGTATCTCAGGTAACTATGTTACTCTTATTATTGGCCCAATTCTTAATTATCAAATATCTTTTCTTAAATTGTGAAATATACACAAAAGACTGTATAATGTGCATTTGGACAGAACAAAGAACACTGTGCAAATAAGCTTTTTAGATTATAAAGTGGCATATTCATGCCTTAGAGAAGTCCCCTGTGCATCTCCTATCTGCCATTCAGAGTTTGGTGTTAACCAAGCCCATACTCTTCTTCTTCTTTTTTTAAGATTTTATTTATTTGAGAGAGAGAGAGAGTGTGTGTGAGCAAGACAGCCCAAGCAGGGGGAGCAGCAGAGAGAGAGGGAGAAGCAGACTTCCCACTGAGCAGGGAGCTGGATGTGGGGCTCGATCCCAGGACCCTGAGATCATGACTTGAGCCGAAGGCAGACGCTTAACCGACTGAGCCACCCAGGCATCCCAAGCCCATACTCTCCTAATTTTGCCAATTATGTATATACATTTATAAACAATATAACCTTAATTTAATTGTTATACAATTTTATTTAAATGCACTCATTAATTCCTCGGGGATTTCCTTCACTTAGCATCATTTATGAAATTTGCCTTTTGTTGCGTGTCACAGTTCATTCATTTCACTGGTTGAAGGTATCTAATATATACCCAAACTACTTTTTTTTAAATCTTGGCATTGTTAATGGCTATACTCATTGCTTCTTGTTTCTTTTTTTTTCTTTCAGATTTTTATTTAAATTCTAGTTAGTTAACATAAAGTGTAATATTGGCTTCAGGAGTAGAATTTAGTGATTCCTCACTTACATCTAACACCCAGTGCTCATCATAACAAGTACCCTCCTTAATGCCCATCCCCCATTCAGCCCACTTCCCTCCATCACCCCTCAGTTTGTTCTCTATCTTTAAGAGTCTCTTATGATTTGCTTCCCTCTCTCTCTCTTTTTTTCCTTTCCCATATGCTCATCTGTTTTGTTTCTTAAATTCCACACATGAGTGAGATCATATGGTATTTGTCTTTCTCTGACTGACTTATTTTGCTTAGCATAACACACTCTAGCTCCATCCATGTTGCTGCAAATGGCAAGATTTCATTCTTTTTGATGGCTGAGTAATATTCCATTGTACATATATATCACCTCTTCTTTATCCATTCATCAGTCAATGGACATTCTGGCTCTTTCCATAGTTTGGCTATTGCTGATAGTGCTACTATAAACATTGGGAGCTTCTTGTTTCTTACTACTGTAAGCAGCAATACCATGACTATTCTTGTATGTCCCTGCCCACATGAGCCAGTGTTTCCTGAGTTCCAGAGTGTGTAATCTGTTATGTGCTATGGCTCCCTGGCCAATTTTGTAAAACTTTAACACACAATGAAAATAACTCGTCTGCGTCTACGTATTAGTTGAGTATTGATGATAGGGAATAGTGGAAAACAAAATAGCTGTTTGGGTTAGCACCATGAGAACACATAACTTCACTGTTTGGTGGTGGAATGACTGCTAAGTATCGTTGCCAACTGGTTGGCCCACTGCAGGTCATGGGCTTATTTGTAGAGAGTAACACATGACTACTTGAAACCTAACAATGGGCCTCGTAACTGCACAGTTTCAGAGTAGTGATCAATACATGTGACATTTGAAGATACTTGCAACAACTGTAATAATATGTAAAATGCTGTGATTTCTTTCGTGAGATGAAGTCACAGTTATTGCTAATAACACTGTGGCTTACCCACCTGCACTGATAAATTGATAACTAAAGAAAATCTCAACTTGGACAAAAGATGAAATTTTTTCAACTCTCCATGTTCATGGATTCCTGAAATCTTAATTATGGGCCCCAGGGGACATTAGACTGGGAAGTCCTGCTCCAGGATGTGATTCTGGGAGCAAAATTGATGGGTCATGGGGCATTCACCCATTTAACATTACAACAAGATGCCAAATAATTTTCCAGTGTAGTTGTATCAATATCCACTTCTGTCAGCCCTGCCTAAGAATTTTCTTTGCAAGGCATGGTGGCCAACACTTACGGTGCCTGATATTTCAACTTTTGCCAGTATGGTGGGTGTCAAAGGGTATTTATCTTTTAAAAGGTAATATGTTCACATGTTCAAAAATAAAAATATAAGGGGCCCCTGGGTGGTGCAGTCAGTTAAGCATCCGACTCTTGGTTTTAGCTCAGGTCATGATCTCAGGGTTGTGAGATTGAGCCCCACGTGTGGGCTGAGTGTGGCGCCTGCTTTAAATTCTCTCTTCCTCTCCCTCTGTTCCTCCCGCTCATGCTCTCTCTCAAATAAATAAATCTTTTAAAAAATTTTAAAAAATAAAACATAAGGTATACATGAAGAACTCCTGTTTCTATTAATATACTTCTCCATTTTCACCACTCTGCACTCTGTAGGACATTTTCTGCATTTTGTTATGCAAATTCAGAAAAACACACAGATAATATTCCATAACATCCCTTTTTCTATTCAAAATTTAACAAAAGAGTTTTTACTTAATAAGTACTAGAGATAATTTCATATCTATACATAAAGCGTGTCTTTATTCTTAAAGTTGCATAATATTTCATTAGGTGAATGAACCCTAGTCCATTTCCACTAATCTCTCTAGATGGTATAAGATACCTTGCATACCATTGCATTCAAGTGACAATTATTTTTTAGTATTAGTTGAAAAACAGACTAACAAATGAGAAATCTGGTAAAGAGAATGAATATATTTTAACATTTTTAAAGTTTTTCTTTAGTTTTAAGCTATTCCATGCAATAGTTTTAGAAAGTCAAAAACACCATAAAAATAGTCAATCTATCTTTTTTTAATTTAATTTAATTTTTTTATGTTATGTTAATCACCATACATTACATCATTAGTTTTTGATGTAGTGTTCCATGATTCATTGCGTGTAACACC